CCCCTAATCATCTTTGTTGCTCTTCTCTGCACTCTTTCTAGGGTCTCCACATCTTTTCTACATTGTGGTGACCAAAACCGAATGCAGTATTCCAAGTGTGGCCTTACCAAGTTAGCTGTAACATTCAATGTTGCCTAGAATAGGTACCATCATTATAACTATGGATATGTATCTTAAACAACTAGCCTCAGGAATCATGATTTGAAGATTAGATGTTTTAATCCAGCCATGGTTGGTATTAATGACTTTTTAGGTTAAAATATTTGGTATAGCAAAGAACCTCAGTTTCTAATGTCTAAATGATAGCCATACCCATTTGAATATTATGACTGCTCCTATAGTTTAGTCATTCTCATTTATTTATAAAAAGAATTCACATGCTTTGAAGCACCTGCTTTGAAGGATTGGCAGCCTTAAACCCCAAGAATATTGTGATATTACAAATAATATTACAAAAACTTCAGGAATATTACAAAAATGTCAGGAGAGACTGCTTTTGAAGGAAGTGAGATGATATATTATTAAATAAAACCTGTTTATTGCCCGGATCCCAGCTTGCGTTAAAATCATACTTTGGTTTGCTTGGCTTTGATGCAGACTGTTATGTGAATCTTGTCACTGTGGGGAATCGCTAACCATTAAATAATATTGATAATCTTGCAATATTTCTTGTGAGAATAAATATTAATAATTTTGGTTCCCATGACTTCGTGAAAATCCTGCAGGGCTCTGAAGATCTAGCTTTTCACCCAGGCAATGGACTAGGATAGCAGTGAGGCTAACAAAGGCAAGGGTAACTGTAGACTTGATCAGATGTTGTGGCACTGAAATTGGGATATAAGATGTTGGTCTAGATTAAGTTGATCATATTTATTCTGTTTTTGTAGATTAGATTATTTGGGAGCCACTTAGGATGATCATGTAAAGATAAGCCACCATGTAGGATTTCTAAAAACAAACAAACAAACAAACACGAGTTTATAGCTTATATATTGTCATAATTTAGCCAGTTGTGTTTTATTCAATAAACTATGGTTAACTGCTTTTGTGCTTTGTTTCTAAGTACCACCAATTAGAAATCACTCCAAGCAATTCATCAGCTAATCAGTTAGACTCCATGTACTGAAATGATGTCCACATGCTTGAATATAGTGGTGTTCAAATTTTCTGTTGTATTATCCTCTAGATTTTCTAACTTGCTGCTATGAGGAAACCTCGGAGGAGGTCCCGGCAGACTTTAGAGGGAAGACGCTCTCCTTCACCGTACAGTTTGAAATGCTCACCCACTCGAGAGACCCTGACATACGCCCAGGCCCAGCGAATAGTGGAAGTCGATATTGATGGCCGTCTCCATCGCATCAGCATTTATGATCCTCTAAAGATCATCACCGAGGATGAGCTAACCGCCCAGGACATCACAGAATGCAATAGTAACAAAGAAAACAGTGAACAACCCCTTTTCCCTTCAAAAACCAAGAAAAATCAGTGCAAAGGTAAAAAAAAAGAGACGTGCACCAAACATGCTTCAGGAGCATCTTTTCATCTGCCACAGCCCAGCTTTCGCATGATTGACTCTTTCAGCCAGCTGGATGCACCACCTTTGCCTTCAGCTTACTATCAGTATGTTGAGAAACCACTCGAGGATGTTGATGCCGAAGTGGAGTATGATTTGGATGAAGAGGATTTGGCCTGGCTTGACATGATCAATGACAAAAGGAAGAGTGATGGGTATGGGTCAATTTCTCCAGAGACGTTTGAATTGCTACTGGATCGTCTGGAGAAAGAGTCGTATTTGGAGAGTCGTAATAACGGAGCCCAGCAGACCATGATAGATGAGGATGCTGTCTGTTGTGTTTGCATGGATGATGAATGTCATAACAGCAATGTCATTTTATTTTGTGACATTTGCAACTTGGCTGTGCACCAGGAGTGTTATGGAGTTCCCTACATCCCTGAGGGACAATGGCTTTGTCGCTGCTGTTTACAATCCCCTTCCCACCCTGTTGATTGTGTCTTGTGTCCAAACAAAGGTGGAGCATTCAAACAGACCAGTGATGGTCACTGGGCTCACGTTGTTTGTGCCATCTGGATCCCAGAAATCTGTTTTGCAAACACTGTGTTTCTGGAACCCATTGAGGGAATAGAAAATATTCCGCCTGCCCGCTGGAAACTAACTTGCTACATCTGCAAGCAGAAGGGCATGGGAGCAGCTATCCAGTGTCACAAAATGAACTGCTACACTGCTTTCCATGTTACCTGTGCCCAGAGAGCTGGTCTCTTCATGAAGATTGAGCCCATGAGGGAGACCAGTCTCAATGGCACGACATTTACTGTGCGCAAAACTGCTTACTGTGAGGCACATTCCCCTCCTGGCACTGTGAAAAAAAGACGTGCAACTACTGCTCATGAAGGAGATGAGGACATTGTAAAGAATGTGACAATGGAGAGAGCCAGTCCCAAAAATAAAAGCAAAGTAAATTGGAAGCAGAAGGTGAAAAAGGAAAGCAGTGCTTCTGCACCTCTGCTAATGATCACACAGATCCCTTCTTACCGGTGAGTGGCACAGCTGTTCCAGCCATCGTTTCGGTATAGATCCGTGGCCTAGTAGTCTATCTGCCCTGGTTTGTGCTTTCATCTCAACAGGACTTAACCTATGTACAGTTTTCAATTGCTTACATCCTTCCTTGTAGAATAAACAATCCTTCCCAATGGCTTATAAGGCATTTAAAGAGGCAGATTAAAAATAAATATTATTTGAAATGAGCAAATGAATAAACTTTTAGGGTCCCTTCCAAATAGCCAGAACAGGGGGAGCGAAGTGTAGCCTTCCTTCCCCTCTCTCAATGTGTCTCTTTAGGGATCATTCCTACAGGATAGTTGGTGGTAGTGGCCCTGTGGGAATGGAATTAGAAGGACTTTTCTAACAGATTTCGGGATGAATAAGGCAACCTTACTATGTGCTTGAGTATAGCTGCAGCCCACAGCTGAGCTTGTTTCTTGAAGTTCATATTGTACAAAAATGTTTTTTGAAATACTAAATTGCTTTGGTTAATTAAAATTGTGAAGTAAATTTTGTTCGTTTAAGCTCACTTGGTGGATGGGCATAGCTCACTTTACTATTTCTGCTGCTGAACTGGATCTGTACAACTGTTTCTAGTGGCATTAATTTTCCAATTGAAAATCCTCTAATCTGAGATACTGCATAGTTTGTATCTAAAGCTCATGTGACTAGAGAATTAGGCAGTGGTCCATAATGCCTGAAGTAGTGGGGGTTACTATGCCTCATATGGATTTGTGGAATCTGAAATTGGATTTAATAAGGGATAAGCTCTTTTGATGCTGTTATTTTCCCCAGGCTGAATAAAATCTGCAGTGGACTCAACTTCCAGAGAAAGAATCAGTTCATGCAGAGGCTGCACAATTATTGGTTATTGAAACGTCAATCAAGAAATGGTGTACCATTGATACGGAGGCTACACTCTCACTTACAGTCCCAAAGAAATGCAGAACTGGTATAAGAATCTTTCATCATCATAGTGCTGCTGGAGTAGTATGAAAAAGAAATATTTGGTAAACTGAATGGGAAGGTTTAGGAAAGAATTGGATGAAAATGATCTTTCTGGAATAGCTATTGTTAGTTAGAACAAGTTAATTAACTTTGAAAGTTTGAATGAATAGTAGTAACGGAATCATTAAATTTTCTCTTAGTAGATGCTTCCATTGCATAGTTCCTTTATTATCAGTTATGGCTGCATAAGATCAATATTTTATATTACATGATATTGAAAAGAGGCAAAACAAGATGAGATATATTCATGAAACTATTCCTTAAATCTGGAAATAGGGTTAACTCATTTTATAGAGAAATGTTTTATTCATTGTGGATATTAGCACTTGGATTATGGCTATTAATTATTAAGATGTTCTTTCTCCTATAGAGGAGTATTTTTCCCAATTCTAACTGGCTAACTATATATAAAATGTTATCTCCACAGAAGGAGCAGGATCAAAAGACTAGTGCAGTAAAAGAAGAGCTTAAATATTGGCAGAAACTTCGACATGATCTAGAAAGAGCACGGCTGCTCATTGAATTAATTCGTAAACGTGAGAAACTCAAACGTGAACAGGTAAATAGAAGCATGTCTTAATGGTGCTTTAGCATCATTTCTGTATATTAATTACTACTGAAGTTGCATATGCATTACAGATTTGTATAGCTACTGAAGGATGGATCAATTAATTAAATTTATTTGCCACTCATCTCAAATTAAAACAACTGTAGGTGACATATAAATAAGAATAATATTTCATGTTGTTGATTAGATCAAGAAAGGGGAATATATTATTTTTTTCTATGCTGATTTCCAGTTCTAAGCCTGTTTATTCTGAATCAAACATTACTTTATTTAGTGTGACTCACACTCGATTAAGTTGCCATATAATGCAGCCAAAGATAAATCTGAAAATGGATTGGAAATTGTGTGATTAAAAAATGCTTCAGGGCACATTTGATTTGTTCAAAAATTCCAGATTTTTCTCTGCAGATGATGTATTGTCAAATAAATAATAAAAATTGTAAAAGCAAAGATAAAACCCAGAAACTAAATCTAGGAAAACAAGCATATCCGTAGAACTACACCAGTAATGTAAAATCAGTTTTATTACTGAACTGTTCAGGGAAATACGAATGTTTTTGTTACAAGATCAGCAGGCTGCCCAGATGAGCTTCCCTGGATGGGTTGTGCCATGATCCTTTCACCAGTTATCACTTATCTAGTTATGGACCTTTATGTATCTGCATAAAGATAGAAAGGCATAACTATATGTTATCCAGTTAGTTTAAGTTAAGATTTTCAACAAAGCTATATTTCTAAAATTCACAATCATGTAAAATGCAGTTTTACAGCTAAGTATTTACTTTAGTTTGCAGTTTTATGCTTTAAATAATCACTGTCTTGTTCTGGCAAAGTGATATAAGTTGAGCAGAGTGAATTTTGTCATCTTGAAAGTTATGCTCCTGTGTAAGTATCAGGCAATTCCATACATTGGATTTGTTTACAGTCCATTTTACAGTATTATGTGATGAATGGGTGAGCTTTGTAGATTAATTATATATGAAAAGAAAATATTCCTTTTTTCCCTCTCTGGTATCTCTGAATAGTATTATTATTCTTATTTCAGGTAAAGGTTCAGCAAGCTGCTATGGAGTTACAGCTCACACCATTCAATGTTCTTATGCGCACAACACTGGATTTATTGCAGGAAAAGGATCCAGCCCAGATCTTTGCAGATCCCGTAAACCTGAGTGAGGCAAGTACCTAGTCCTAGATACATGGTTAAGATGATTTGAAGACACTGTTTAGAGGAATGGCTGTATCACGGATTGGCAATGCAGCACTTGGGAGCATTGAATCATTTAGACAATCAAAAAAAAAAAAATCTTCAGGGCCCACAAATTAAAGATAACCTTGCAATATTACAAAGAGTTTGAGGGATGCAAATGCTGAAATTTCACAAAATATGTTGCTCTTGCAAAGTTTCTCTCATATTTACAGAGGTAAACAGTACAATATTCTTGTTATTTTATCATTAAATAAAAACATAGTGCCAGGCAACTGGGAAAAATAAAACCCTGCCAGCTCTTGGACAATGTAAAAATACAACTGGCAGCAATAAAGTCTTGTTACTTGATTATGTCATGATACTGCTTCATAAAAGTATTTTTGAAGACTAAACTGCTTACGCAAAGAGCTACCAAATTGTCCCAACTATATAGAGCACTGTCTATATGGAAATGGGCTCTTATCTCTTAGCAAGATAGTTCTATTTATGAGAGGTGAAGGGCAATGTTCCCTCTAATTTTTTTTNTGTCATCACAGATCTTCTGCGTATGCCCTCCCACTACCTAGCCGGTAGTGAAGAGAATAGGATACCATTACTGGCCTCCCACCCCACTTTTTCTGGAAGTTGCCTAATTTTATTGTTTTATTTGTTTCCTATATAATTTGATTGCTTATTAGTAACCTATGACTATCACTAAGTGTTGTATCTTATGATTCTTGATGAATGTATTCTATTTTACTTTTCTTCATGTACACTGAGAGCATGTGCACCAAAGACAAATTCCTTGTGTATCCAATCACACTTGGCCAATAAAGAATTCTATTCTATTCTACTATTCTATTCTATTCTATTCGCTAAGATAGGAAGAAGAAAAAGAAAGAAAAGTGCTTTGGCCTCCCTTACTAATCTCCTGTTTCATGTTTGCTTATTTGATGAAATAATTCAATCATTGAATTCTCAGTAACACTATTTTTTGATTCCTTAGAATTATTTTTTGTTCAGTAATATAGGTGGACTATACCCCAGAGATCTGAGTGTGGAGTTTAAAGAATGTACTATAAATACCTTTTAATTTGAAATTTATGAATTTATCTGTTCCCTTTACTATATATTGAACAGATTTTAGGTCATTCTTCAGTATTATAGTCAGAGTAATATGAAATGCTATAGATCATTGTTATTTTCTTCCTAGTGTTTTCCCGCAAGTGTAGGGTCAACTTTTTTTGAATTAACTGAATATTGATCTATTGATTACAATGGGGTTTGATCGACTGGCTTGTCGCCCGAGCATGATATCATTGGCTGAGAGGGAATGACTGGCCCCAAGTTACTTAGCTGGCTTTATGGCTAAAGAAGGGCTAGAATTCAGTCTTCCAGTTTTCAGCCTGATAACCACTAATACAAACTGACTATCCTGTAGGATAATAAAAATAAATAAATAAATCACGGAAAACAGCAACAGCACAGAAAAGCTAATGTAATTAATTTTTTTGAATAAGATTTTATCAGTCAGTCATATTCCTTGCTAGACTAAGTTTAATTGTGAGAATTGATTACTAGGTACTAGTTGAATATTAGAAACTGAATGCTGAGAATTTCATTTATTTTTCTAAATTTTTTATTCTTCACTATGAAATGATATTGTAGTGTTATTACTTTCTGCTGGGAGTATTATTGTGTATTCACTTAAATGTATGAGGCTTGAATCAGTGGTGGGATTCAATTTTTTTTACTACTGGTTCTGTGGCCGTGGCATGACTTGGTGGGCATGGCTTGGTGAGTGTGGCAGGGAAAGGATACTGTAAAATCTCCATTCCCAGTCCAGTCCAGGGGAAGGATACTGCAAAATCCCCATATCCTCTGATCAGCTGGGACTTGGGAGGCAGAGAATAGATAGGGCCAGGGCCAGTCACGAATTACTCAAAATTTATGCTACCAGTTCTCCAGAACTGGTCAGAACCTGCTAAATACCACTTCTGCCTTGAACGTGAGAATTAGGTACTGTATAACGTGGAATACAGAAAGTTGTTATTGCTAATCCAAATCTACTTTATAAAATTATTTTGAAATTGAAATGCTTTGAGTTATATGCATGCAATTAAGTAATATATTATTGATTGCCCTACCCTCTGCTCTTGAAGCAGTTATCTTTGTAGTTGTCTGAAATACTGAAAGATGAGTTACATATTAGTGAGCTTAGGGAATTACATAATAGCTTTTGATATTTTTGGGCCAAGGAATGGGAAAAAAATCTATATTTTATTTATTAGACAAATACTGTATATCCCTTTTATGCATTACATTAAATATCATCGAAGATTTGGAGTTTTCAAGTAACAGAAATTAATAGTACAGATAAAATCTAACAAACACATACAGAATAAAAATAAGACCAACAGCACAGCCCCAAGGAAGTAGAAAGATCTAGAAAAACATTAACATTGTGTTTAAAAATTAACAGCCATAGAATTTGAGGGATGCCCTATTATTATTTGCTTGAAGCATTCTGAGAAAGATATTTAAAATAATTTAACAATCTCAAACAATTTTTCTCATAATTTGTTCTTAACTCTGGTAATTTTAACACTAAGTCATTGAATTGGTTCTGCAAATAGATGGAAGCTGTTAAATAGCACAGAACACTTAGATAACACAATGGCCATCCTTATTAATAATTTCATTCTGTTTTGAATACAGTATCTCTGTCCACGTCAGATTTTTATTGGAATATCCATATAAGTGATAAAAGATGCCCCATATGCTTAAGGTTACATTGACCCAAATGATAATACCAGCTCCAAGAGCACTCCCAAGTGATAAATAATTTGTTAGGGAGAATCCAAACTCCTGGTTAAAATTTACTTAACCGGGCAGAGTAACTAAATGGCTTGGATAGAGCATTGTTTGCATTTATTTTAAGCATTATTTGTTGAACAAGTGATATTAGCTTGGTTTACACAATGCTAAGTCATATTAACTAAACCACTTTGTATAACATATTACATAAGTGCTTAGTGCACCATATAAACAGCTATTCCATGTTGCCTGAAGTAGTTTAAAGCTTTATTATATGGCTATCAGATCTAGGCTTCAAAAATCTGAATATTATTAGAGCATCTAAAGAAATTGCTAAGGAAAAAGAAGCTATTTCTTGCCGATCAAATTATCTGATTTTTGCATGTGCACATCTAGGAGTCCTTGTTTATTCTATTTGATTACTGGACCAAGTTCAGCCATTGGTGAAAGACAGATTGAGAAATCTGAGTGTAGTCCAGTGCCAGTGAATCTACAACCCTAATGAGACAGGCCATGACATTTTGACTGACACACTACCATTCACCAACTCCCAACAATTATTCTTGGAAGCACACGTCATTCTCACAAGATTTTTGGAGGTTGGGGAGACTGCACAAGAATGTGGTGTGAAGCTACTTCAAGAACAAAGGCCTTGTGCAATCTGGAGATACTTTGGGTAGGCCTGCCAATAGAAAGAGAACACTGCCTGAAGGTAAGCGGTGTGCCGCAGATCTGGAGATCACATGATTGGACTGTATTTTTCAAAAATAAATACGGGTAGTCCTTGACTTACAGCAGTTCATTTAGTGACCGTTCAAAGACATGCGACACTAAAAAAGGTGACTTATGACAGTTTTTCACACTTATAACTATTGTAGCATCCTCTAGGTTAAGTGATCAAAATTCAGATGCTTGGAAAATATATTTATGACAATTGCAGTGTCCGGGATCATGTGATTAACTTAACAACTGTGGCAAGAAAGATCATAAAAATAAAATATCAAAATTACTTAACAACTGTCTCACTTAGGAATAGCCATTTTGGGTTCAATTGTGACCTTAAGTCGAGGAATATCTGTATGTAAAGAATTGAAGGTTTTTTTGTTCAGTGAGAGAGGGGAAAGGCTTTTAAGAAGATATTGAACAGCCATTTGTTTGGAGTGGTATAGAAGTTGGACTAGAAGACGTCCAAGGTCCCTTCCAACTCTGCTATTCCGTTGTTTTATGAATTTTTGACATCCTGAGGCCAAAAGATTGGCCATCTCTGGTACAGTCTGAAATTTCAGTCCATAGATAACGTTTACCACGAGGGAGAAGATAAGAGAAGACAGAATGCTGTTAAAGAAGACTTTCTTTTATTGAATTTAACCCTTGATGACAACAAACAGGCAGTTTTTGTGGGCACCATATTTTTCGAAGTATAAGACGCACCTTCCCTCTCCCCCCCGTAAAAGAGCGTGGAAATGGTGCGTCTTATACCCTGAATGCAGCAATTTTTGGCCTTTGAAAAACAGGCTGTTTTTTTGCAAACATGGAGGCGTTCTTCCCTTCCTCCAGCCCCCAGAAGCACTCTGCAGGCTTCAGCAGGGCTAGGGGAAGGGATAAATGCTCCCGTTTTTGCGGGGAAAAACAGGCCATTTTTTGCAAAAACGGAGGTGTTTTTGCCTTCCTCCAGCCCCCAGAAGCACTCTGCAGGCTTCAGTAGGCTCATTTTCTGCCCATTTTTTGCAAACACGGGTGTTTTTGCCTTTTCCCAGCCCTGCTGGGAAAAACATTTTTTCTTACTTACCTCTTCGAAATCTTGGTGCATCTTATACGCCGGTGCATCTTATAGTCTGAAAAATATGATATGGGATAAAAGTAACTTCTTTTCTCCATTCCCTAGTTTAGCTACCTTAAATTCCATTGTGGTTCTCATACAATATTAACTGGTGATTTAATGATGTGGCTACATTGTTTGTAACATTTCACATTCTCCTCTAGCTTTTTAATAATAATATTAATGTTTTCATTGTGGAATATTTTCAATGTTCTTTTACGGGTTTTTTTTTTGTATACTGCAGAGAGTTGTGGCTTGTGATACAGTCATATAAATAAAATGGACAGTTGGATGCAAAGACAGACAGACAGACAGACAGGACTCTAGCTTCTGAGAGTAAACTAATCCAGCTCAGTGCTGCCATCTGCTGAGATAGTAGAATCCTAAAGTAGAACATTAATTTCCAACATAATCTTTTGGAAATGGAGTTTCCCCTTTTGTGGATGGAGGTGGTAAAATGTGGAAATCACATCATATTTAGATATTTCCAAATCAATTCTGATACTTTTAGCTTACAGGAGAAATTTTTATATGCCATAGAACAGTGATGGCGAACCTTTTAGGCACCGAGTGCCCAAACTGGAACGCACATGCATCTGTGTGCATGAACGCGTGCTGGAGTGCTGGAAACCTGAACACCAGCTGACCGGTGCGCTTGCAGGTACCGCCCAACTGGTCTTTGGGTTTCCGGCACATACATGCACACTGCCCAGCTGGTCTTCGTGTTTCCGGCACACACATGCACACTGCCCAGCTGGTCTTCGTGTGCACCGGAGCAGTGGAAACGCAAAGAACAGCTGGCCAGTGCACGCATGCCTGCTTTTTGGGCAGTTTTGACCATTTTTCAAGCCATTTTTGGCCTGTTTTTATGGCTGTTTTATGGTAATCTTTTGGTCCAAAAACGGCCTGAAAAAATAGCCTGAAAATGGACCTATTTTTGGCCGTTTTTCAGCACTCCAATGCCCGCAAAGACCAGCTAACCATATGCATCAGAAACCAGAAGAGCCACTGGTGGCACACGTGCCATAGGTTCGCCATCACGGCTATAGAGTATCAGTGGAGGATACTTTCTATATGTTTATTAAATGGAAGTAAAATGACAATATTAAATAGAAGTCAATATTGTGAGATTGGATCTTGCTTGATTTAAAACAGCAGAAAGTTTCGCAGTTGAAAAATTTCTAGAAAATCTGTATTACGGATGGTGTCCCATGGTAATTTTCTGCCTAAACAAGCAATGTACCGGTATGTGTAACTGCTGCTTAAGCAGGATTCAAAAGTTCCTAAAAAGGATATCTGCCAATATATGCAAAAAGCTCATTTTTATAATAGTATGTACCTTCTACACAATAAAGTGGTAGTTGATGTTTTCTTTGTTTTTCAGGGTGCTGTGTATGCTGAACATTTTCTATTTAGTCTAGCTAAATTATCTTCTGATTATATGTGGTTACAAAAATGAAAAACTTGGATTCCATAGACATTCTGGCAATCCTTCTTCCATTGGAAGATAGTTACATTAAGTTCAGAAGTAGAAAACAAAATATTTGTTTTCTACTAATAGTAATAGCTTGTTATGAACTGATTTTTTAAAAACCCAATATAATACTTATTGAAGTAGAAAAAACAATCCTGTGCACCTGTATTCACAAATTTGTCTTGGCAATTAATTTCTAAAGGTTTTTCTACTTCTAATGGTTTTGCAGCTTTAGAAAGCTCATTTATTTAAATTAAATTGTCACTGAATAATGATTACACCTTTCAAAATAATAAGCTTGGGAGCCAGGATTTGCTTTTTGTGCAAAACCAAACTGTAGACCAATCTACATTAGATTTTTGTTTTAACAGGAGCCTTATCTGACAATAGCTGTTTGGCACTATTTTATTTCATAGTGTCTACTGTGCTTCAAACATTGCAGTCAAACTTCGATTAGATTCTAGTCAAAAAGTATAATTCCTAATTTTCATATTTTGTTTTGATCAAAAGGTTTTGCTCAAATTTAATACTAAGTTTTCTTTTTGTTACAAGGAGTCATCTTAGTGAGCTTCAAGCTCTTCAACTTCTCAATTGGAAGGAGTTTGAAAACATTTGCTTATGCTTTAGATTAAATGTAGGTTGTGGTGATGTTGGAACCTAGACAGACTGGTTTTGTGTAATATAAATATACAAGCCACAGCAAGTCTGATTTGCTGTCTGGTTAGGAAAGGAGGTATTTGGAAACCATCCAGTTGAAGTTAATACGATAATACAATAGCAGAGTTGGAAGGGACCTTGGAGGTCTTCTAGTCCAACNCTGGGCGGCAGTTGGAAACTGCTGCGCGGTGTTTTGTTGCCACGTGCGCGGCCGCTCACCTGCGCACCTTAGAGGGAACAGTGGTGAAGGGAATATAATTAAATAAATAAGTGGCATTCTTAAAAGTTTATGTTCAAACCCAGTGCCAATAAGAGGACATACAGAATACTTATGATGGGTATACCCTGGTTGGCTAGTAAATGATTTTTGTAATTGTACAGGTTTTATATGTTTAGGTTCCAGATTACTTGGAATTCATTTCTAAGCCAATGGATTTTTCTACCATGAGGAAGAAGCTGGAGTCCCACCAGTACCAAACACTGGATGAATTTGAAGAAGATTTTAACCTTATCCTTGCCAATTGCATGAGGTATAATTCTAAAGACACCATTTTCCATCGAGCAGCTGTCCGGCTCAGAGACCTTGGAGGTGCAATATTACGCCATGCACGACGGCAAGCTGAGAATATTGGCTTTGACCCCCAAGTGGGGATTCATTTGCCTGAATCTCCAAAGACAGAAGATTTTTATCGTTTTTCTTGGGAGGATGGTAAGTTTCTGAGCTATTTCTGATGTAATAAAGAGAACAAGTGTATAAAAATGTAAAGCAACTCACCTTGAAAAGTGTCCTATATAAAAATATTTAACTGATTCCAGATTTAAGTGATGAATTTCCTGCCTGTGGTATAATGTTCATAATATAGTATAATGTTTAGCTAGCTAGGAATGGTGAGTAGGTCTGGCTTGAGAAGCAGAGAACTTTCTCAATTGATATCACACATCCAGTATTTCTAATTGCAGTTGACAATATTCTTGTTGCTGAGAACCGAGCTCATCTTTCCTTGGAAGTACAACTGAAGGAACTACTGGAAAAGCTGGACATAGTGAGCACCATGAGGTCAAGCGGTGCCCGAACTCGTCGCGTTCGACTTTTGAGACGGGAAATCAACTCCGTCAGGCAAAAGCTGGCTCAGCAGCAGAATAAAGCCATGCCAAATGGAGAATCCGCCGCATGGGAAGAAGGTCTGGAAAAAATGCTGCAGAGTGATGAAGATAGGGAAAAAGGTGAGAGACTTCACTAGATTTCAATAAGTTAGTGAGGAAATAGATTTAGTTTAGGCTGGGCTGGGTGGGGTAAATGAAAATACCCCTGGAATCTTACACGAGTCTGTTATAACCGTGATGGTGAACACGGTTGCACTTGGAGCCCTCTCTGCAGGCATGTGAGCCGTCGCCCCAGCTCAACTCCACCTCGCATGTGTGTGTGCACCTCCTGTCGGCCAGCTGATTTTTGGGTCTCTGCCACACATGCAAGAGACATGTGAGCATGAATGGGGGTGAGGGTGGGTCGCACAGACATGCGTGGGGTTGGAAGGGGAGCAGTGCCACCCCATGCCCCTTTTTGATCCCAGGAGGCATCAGGGAGGCCTGCTAGGCCCAAAACAGGGCGTGGGAGGGTCACACGTGCATTGCCTTATGGGTGTGGGCACACGGTGTATGCTGTTGCGTGCGCATGCTTTCAGCACGTGAGGACAAAAGGGTTAACTATCATTGTGTTAGAATAATTCTTGCTATAATTCTTGCTTTTAATAATGCATATCAAAAATATTTAAACATTGAGTCAAAGACGTCTTCAAGATTTGTGATATTTATCTTACTGCACAGTACAAATTGTACCTCATGATAAATTGGTGAGTTTGGAAGAAAACAGCCGAGGCTAATCAGATTTGCCAACATCTACTTGGCTGCATCCCAGAATATGTCCTTACACTGAAATCTCTGTAGCATTTATAAGGAATACTAGGTTGGAACATTCTATGTGCTAGGAAAAGAGAAGAAGAGAGGAAGGAAGGAAGGAAAAAGAAAGAGAAAGAAACAACAAAAGAAAGAAAATATGAATCACCAGAGTAGGTGGCTGCAAAAGAGATAAATGCAATTTTAGTCTACGTTAGTAAAATTCAGTTCAAGGGAAACAATAGTTAGCTTTTGGTTATTATGCCTTATTCAGATTCTATCTCAGTTGTTGTGTCCAATATTACAATTCAAAACAAATTTAGAACACTTAAACTGGTATAAAGAGGAACCTGTGCGGAGGCATTGAGTTAACTGGGTATGTTTAGCCTTGAGAAAAGAAGATTAAGGGAGGGTATAATAGCACTATTCAAGTACCTAAAATGACTTTACAGAAAAGCAGGTTGAGACCTGTTTTCTAGTAGAGAATATATGGAGCTGAGAGTTGAATTTTTGGGCTTTTGGTGTTCTCTGAGCTTTTATTTGCTTCTTGAAAATCTTGCATTACCAGTCTGGGTGAAATCATTAGTACATAGGGCACTGAAGTTTGTTATCCATTTATATGTGATAGAGTGATCTGGCCTGGCTTAAAACATTTATAATTTCCCAATTGAAAATTGTGTTTGCATAGGTAGTCCTTGACGTACGATCAAATTTTCTGTTGCTAAGTGAGTTTTGCACCCATTTTATCATCTTTTCTAGCCATAGTTGTTAAACGAAGCACTGCAATTGTTAAGTTAGTAATCCAGTTGTTAAGTGAATCTGGCTTCCCCATTGACTTTGTTTGTCAGAAGGTTGCAAAAGGTGATCACGTGACCCTGGGACACTGCAACCATTGTAAATATGAGTCAGTTATCAAGCATCTGAATTTTGATCACATGATCATGGGGATGCTGCAACGTCATAGGTGTGAGAAATGATCATAAGTTACTTTTTTCAGTATCATTCTAACTTTGAACAGTCACTAAATGAACTGTTGTAAGTCGAGGACTACTTGTACTTGTACCTGTAGTGAAATTAAAGAATTTTCCTCATGCCTTCCAACTGCCAATTGATTTTCATGGTTGCATACTGCCAGTTTGTCCAATATAACAATCTGCATGATCTGTGCATTGTATGTTGTCACTTGACATGTTTTGTCTTCTTTGGCTGTTGAGTCTTTATGTTTGCTTTGGATGCTTTGGATAGATATTTATGATTTAGGGGCTGTTGTAATGTCAATAAATTGTACTAACCAGGGAGTAATTTCTAAGACGTTTTTAATGTGTGGTAGAGCAGCGGCCTCTAATCTTTGGGCAACAGGGACCAATTTTGTGGTGAAAGTTTTTTCCATGGACCTGAGGGGACATGGTTTCGCGTGCTGCCTGCATCCCCGGGATGGAGGTTTGCTTGTTTGCGCTGCATGGTTTCTGACATGTTGCGGACTGCTGCAGGGAGATACCTGTGGTATAGGGATGGGCTCCGGGCCGGCAGGCATTACTGCTGGTTTGCTTGTGGGCGCTGTACAGAAGCAAAAAACAAGATGGCGCTGCCTATGGCACCACCCAGAGAACTGGTTTGGGGGCATGGCAGGCATGGGTTGCTGCCGGTTCCAGCGACCCAGGCTGCCAAACCACTCTGGTTCGGCCGAACCAATCCGAACCGGTAGGAAGCTACCACTTCTGTGGTAGTGCTATCCTTTTCATAGGTTATGTACATTGTATTACAATCAATCATACAACACATTGACCAACATTTAGAAAAGCAAGAACTAGAACCTGAATAGGAAAATCAAGGGGAAAACTGCAGTCAATTCAAAGAGCAGTTGAACAATATCCCAATGGAAGCTGGTACCACAAGCTGTCATATTTAAACACGAAATGACTTCATTCCCACATGCATTCATCGTGTTACCTAGCCTAGTAATTAAGTGTCTGCAAGAAGAAAAGTAAGCTCAGAAATCACCACTGATCCAAAAAGGTCAGTTTCTGTTGTTCCAAAATGTTGGACATGACACAGAGTAGGAGATTTAAATTATAGGAAGACAATTCCAATGGAGCATTAGGGGGGAAAATTCTAATGTGAAAAGCATTTGACAACAGAACCAGATGACAAGAGACGGTAGTAGGATCTCCTTCACTAAGTATGTGCAAACCTAGGCTAAACAGATGTTTGTTGAGAATGCTTTAATTTGTGCTGAGCAGACTGTTATGCATGATGGTCTAAATGTTCTCTTCCTGTCTATTATTCTGTGACTAAGAAGTCTTTTGCAACTGTGTTCTTACCTGTAAAAATGAGCCGTAAATATTATACCATGAGATTTCCAAGGAAACTATACACACATACTCCAATTTATAGTAAACAATGGAATTCAAGGGATCTTAAACTCTGATCCTTTGGGCAGTGGGAATCAAAATAGATTCTATTTTAGTTAGGTGTAATACATAAAACCAAACACTGTGATTTATGTACACAAAGGTTAAGGATTTTTGAATGAGTCAGAATACCATGACTTGTTCAATAAACCATACTAAAATGAATCATGACTTAAAGCCATAAATGATTTCAGCTAGCAAGTGTTAATCTGTTTTTGAACAAGGGGTTATTATTATTTTTCAAGTGACATTAGTTGACAGCATGCAACTAACTTGATTGTTCTCTCCCAAAGAAAGATGTGGTCATAATTTTTATGTTTTGAGACACTGAAAATGGAAAATGCTGTATAGAAAAAAATATAAAAAATGAGTTCATTCTAATGTGTTTGTTTCTAGTTTTTGGTTCATAAATTGCTAAATGTATTTTTCCCCTAGAATCCTGTAATATAAAAAATATGTGTACTCTTCTAAATGTAGACTAAGATTTTTAGTATTTTGTCACACACCAGATGTTTAGGCTCCTGTAGTTTCTCGGCAAGGGAGCAATAACTGTAGGAAGAGTTATTGTTATTCAAATAGCACTACCAATGATAAGAACAGAAGATGTGAAACAGCTGTTCTGCAGACCAACAGAAAGATAGGGCAGCACATGAAGCCCTTGGAAATGACTTTCACCGTTCTAATTTCTATTGCAGGGATACTTTGATACTTTGTCTTCTCCACACACTTTCCCCCCAGAAATTACATACTGGCGGTCAGTTCCCCAAAGGGGACTAATTTATGTTTAACGGTTAGTGAAGCAACTACAGAATGTTGTTATCTTCTAGCTGTGTTTTAAGTGTTATTCTCATTTGTCATTCATGGAGAAATAAAATAGTTGGTATGGCATTTTTCTGTCAGCACTCTCTAATTTTATTGGGAAATTCTTGAGTCATTCCTTCTTCCATGAGGATGGTCAGTGAATGGCATGAGGAGGATGATAAAACGACAGCATAAATCCAATGATTTCATCAAACAAATGCTTTCCTTATATACTTGTACCCTAGTCTCTGACACAACTCTCTCTGTATGTGGTTTTTGTGATGACATTGTGCATGTTTCTTCATCTGTTGTATTGACTTTCTTCCCTGGTCACCCATGTTGAAAGCTGTATAGTTTAGGACCTGGAGTGAATAATTTAGCTTAGACTGAATGCTTCGATGGAAAGACAACTTAAATGGGAGAAGAATGCAAGTGTGATTTCATTCTGTGATTGAGTTTCAAGCATCCCATAGTCGTGTTAGAGAACAAGAAATATGTCAGATCTGGACTGTTCTGAATGTTTTCGTGACTGTACAAGGAACAGGGACAGTTTAGTTTAGTTTTGTTTGAAATAAAAAAAAATACATTAGTGACTGCTTTTAGTGTGCATGAAACTGGATTCTTCTTTAATCTCTAGACTTTTATATGTCCGAATCCTCTTATGTGAAGGTCAGATTACTTGAAAAGTATTAGAATCTGAAAAAAATGAGTAAAGAAAGATAGGAAAATGACTTTCATGCAGCTCAGTGTTTTCAGCATATTTACTCAGAAGTAAATCCTTCTAAATTTAATGTGTGGGAGATTAAGAAATTTTGCATATTTATTCCATCCTAAATAATGCCACAGAATAAATGATGATATATTTCCTGCTTCTTGCGAGAGTCAGAATAGTTCTTTCTGAAGACTTAGATAAGATTCTCTCTGCCTTGTTCCCCCATACTTGGAATGCCTCTCTTAAATACATAATACAAAACGTAGTTATTTAACTGATGTACCATTGACTTACAATCATAGGAGGAAACAGAAAGCTGTGATCCTACTTTGGGGAATACTTTGTACGATGTTCAAGCAGATTCTTTTTCTCTTTAGCAGATGACACCAAGCCCCCACTTCCCCCTACCCTGGAGCCCACAGGACCTGCACCCTCCCTATCGGAGCTGGACTCTCTGCAGGACCCTCCAACTCTCAAACCCATTAGCGAAAGCAAGTCCTTGAACAGACTGCATAAACGGCTGAAGTCTGAGGGCGAGCTCTTTGATAAGAAGACGCTGCAGAGGGAGAGCCACCACGCCTTCCACCGCTTGCTCAGCGACAACGGCCTGAATGGATTGGCCCTTCAGGCTACGGGCACGTCTGCCAGCCCCCCGTTTAGTGGAGTGGGCAGGCGGACTTCTGTCCTTTTTAAAAAAGCCAAGAACGGGGTGAAACTACCAAGAGATCTGGACTGTCCCCTTGAGAATGGAGAGGACCACAGCCAAAGTGGGCAGCTCTCCCCCTCCAGCATAGAGGGTGAGCAGCCATCTCGGAAACAGCCACAGAATGGGAGCTACAGCAAGAGCGATGACGAGAAATCCCCCAGGCAGGCAGGAGTGACAGGTGACTCCCCTGAGCTTTCATTCCTCTGATGTTTTGGAAAGTCAGAGATTTCTAGAGTAAGGGTAGCTGGCTGGCAAGAAATGTCCATGTCTCTATAATATCAAGCTTTTTCCTGAGTGATAATTGGCTTCTGTGCAATTTCTGTCATAGGAATCTTCACACCAGGCCCCAATGATATTAAGGACGAGAGAAAGCTATGGGCTCCAAACAGAAGATTAGCCATTTCCAAATATGGAAATTATGCTGACCTTTTGATTTGTAATTGATTTGATTACTTTTATTATTTTTTATTCTGTTGCTAGGACTGTTTTTAGGAAGATTTGGAACATTTGATAGTTTGAGATATAAGAGCAGAAAGGGGTATGCATTTCTTTATTTTCACCCCAAAAATGTTTCCCCTTGCCTAGACTTCTTTTCATATTTTAATTTGGGGGAGGGTCACTATGTATATTACTTTTTATAACTCTTTCATTGGAATGAATTCTGACACTATTGAGATTTTTTTTCCAGTGAACATTTTGTGTAAACAGTTAACACCAGAATCTTCTCCACTGCTTTTAGAATAGAACAAAATTATGTGCCAAACACAAATTGGATGGTGCCTAGAAGAATGCAACAGTATTAAAAGTTCACTTATTTATAAGATCTGAAATATTAAACAGCAGGTTCTAACATTTTTCTTAATGTGTTTCTGAATTCAAGGCACATGATGACTCACAAGTGAATATAGATCAGGCTCCCCTGAAAAACGTATTTGAAAATTCTCATATTCAAAGTTCTGCCGATGATACTTATCTCTAACAGTTTATTCACATGTGGCAGTTAACATTCGATGCTGCAGTCATTACATAGTGAACATTGATCTGTGAGCCGTTGTATTATTTCAATATTTAAAAGAGAGAGAATCAAATTATCCTTAACCATGCCAAAAGCAGTATTTTTACCTATATGCCCCACAGAGTACTTTTATTTATTTGTCTATCAAATTTATATGGCTGCCCATATCACATAACATGACTCTAGGCGGCATACAATAATCAAGTAAAAAGCAACAGAATGATCCTGTGAATAACAAAATTTCTCCTGAAAACTGTTTAAAAGAGACAATATATATATATATCAGTAATTTTAATATATTGCAGGACCAAAGACATATGTTTTCTTAAGTACTAGTAGTACATAACGCTGATAACCATTGCATGCAACATTTTTTAAACATTTTTTAAAGTAGCAGCAAATAATGTTAAAGTCATGGGTCTGTCTTTTCCAAACTAGTACTGGGAGTTACGTTTTGTGAGGATTGTCATATTTCGGGAGCATCCAATTTTGAGAAACTAGCAGCAGGTGAAATCTCCCACATCCCAAGGTGTTTTGATTTTTATGTGTTTCAGTTGTTGAGGGTACAGTTGTACAATGAGGCAGCCGTTGGAAGAGTTGAAGGAGGGACAGATTGTCATGGAGAATACATACGTGGTTGTGAAGAGTCAACAATGATATGGTGGTCACATAATTAGTGATGTGTGTTATGTTCCCGCATCCATGCTTTATACATTTGTGTAGTCTTATTTCAATAGCTCTGGTATCACTTGCAGGTCTCCTGTACAAATATTAATTAAGCTTAACCCTGTTTGCTTTTGAGTTCAGATGCAGTCACCTTAATGTGTTAGGATTATATAGCAGCTGTTGTTAAAAATAGTAAACCATCAGGGTAGTTTCATATTCTAGTTTGACTAGTAAGCACAGTGGTTATTTTTCCCATTTGAGGCATTTGTGTGACAGCTTAGTGATTACCAAAAGATTTTAATATTCTTCTGAAAACTGTTTTCATTCAGACTTTCCCCCCTTAGACTCCATCCTTTTTATCTTTTTGTTCATGAATAGAAAATTATATAGTGAAGAAAAGGGAGTTTTCTGCTTTTCCTCTCATGAATAATTATAAGGACATATTTGTTAACAAAAAGAATGAAGACTAGTTGGCAGAAAATAAGATCAAATAGTTTATTACTGTCAGTGGTAATACTTTACAAAATAGAATGATTTCATCCTTGTATTTTGAGAGGGTAACGTGGACCTTTCTTTAAAAAAAAAACACATCCATAGGGAGTCTTCTTGAGGCTAATGTAGTTCATGAATGCATTTTATTTGGGAGCCTGCAACATTTCTGGTTGTCTCTCTGATTGTTGCTCTACATTTATCTATTTTCTATGACCATGAGATTCCATTCCTGTTCAGTCTAATGTTTAATCAGTTTATGGCGGTTTGAATAATATTCACCATTTAATTGCCAATTCACCAGATCTGAAGACATCCTTTTAGAGCATTTTACATCAGAGGAATAATTTTGGTGTTGGCATATATTTTTTTTGGTAGCTTTACTGCTCAATCTTGTTTCTACTTAAATAAAATTCATTATTATCATAAAAAATAGTAGGTCATACACAACTTGAAACAAAACAGCAAAGATTGTCATTTTAGTAGTTCTGGAACAGTTTTAGCAGATCAGGCAGATAAGATAATAGGGATACCTCTAAAAGCATTTAAACCCCTTTTACATAGGCAGGGTGGTTAAACAGAATGTGGTAATGCTATTATTTATCACTCCCAAGACAGCTGCTTTTGTAAGGGAATTTCCTTTTGTAGCATCATTGTAAATTATATTCCCAATTTTGATGTCTTTAGTTGGATAAGAATTATTCTATAAGAACTAGGCTCAAAAGTGAAGATATGTTTATATCCTTTTCATGTTAAAAATTATCTTCCTCTGTACACCCTTTCTTCTTCTAGAACCAAGAATATTACTACTTTTTGTACCTTTATACTTATAATACTTATAATAACAGGTATTAGTGAATATATAGAAGATAGCTAAACAGTTTTTTTCTTTAAAATCATCATAATAAAGGAAATGACAGTAGGGAGAAAAGTAGCACCTTTGTTATAATACAAATGCATAATAATCTATTGGGATTAAATAAAGACAGAAACAAATAGATAATCTCAGAAGAAAAGTAATGAGGTGCCTAAGGGATTCTTGTGTGAATAATATAATAATCAAAATTCAAAACAACAATTTAAAAGGATATGGATAAAAGACTTAGCCGTTGAAAAATCATGGGATAATGGCTGGAATAAAGACTATTCTAAAATTGATTCTATGAAAGACTGATAGAATTACTGATACACAGTACTATTTTTATGGGATAGTTACATTCAGGCAAAACCAAAATAAACCTATATGTAGAACATTAAGTACACAATTCAATATGAACTGTATTTTATATTTATATTTATATATATTTATAATCATACTGAAAACTAGTGTTGTGTAATCTCAAAACTTTGTGTCAGAGATAACCTATAATCCATATAATGGTAGGTTTGCATGCTATGTGTTTTCATTCTCTTTTAGTTATCTGGGTCCAACATAACTTTTAATTCATAAAAAACATGATTAAAGACAGTATAATGTTTAACACTTCTTGACGTAGGAGATGTTTACAAAAAGACAGTACATATTCATATACATACAAACGTTCCAACCAGTGGTGGGTTTCCAATTTTTTTTACTCAGGCAGGTGTGCGCATGCAATGCTTCTGGGCACATGCAGAAGTGTCTGGGCAGGTGGGCGGAGCCTCCCACCACCGCTACTACTGGTTTCCCCGATCCGGGCCAAACCGGGAACAACCCACCTCTGGTTCCAACTTTAGTACAGTATATGCAAGATTCCCCTGGTGATCAGGGCACTTGCATAAGATTGTAGAATATAATCTTTGAAATATAACACCCCCCCCCCAACTACTGTATTGAATTATCTGTTTTATTCTACTACTATACTTCTCCTATTGTAATAATGCACAAGAAGAAAGATAAAATTACCTTGAAGTGACTTTTATGCTGGGGGGGAAATGCAATTGAAAATGCAGTGAATGTGTATTTTGGATGAATTCTATTAGTTTGAAGGAATAACTTGGAACTAATTGGCTTCTTTATTATTTTGGGGAAATAAAGCAAAAAGCAAAATGTGCATATAAAACCAAGTGTGTTATCCTCTTAACTTTATTTGAAAAAAATACCATCTGAGAGGATCAAAGGAATGTAGGAGTCTATTAATCAGATTGTCCCTAGAATAATTACTTTGATAAATATCTCCATCAGGCTTCAAACTCAAATGTTATATTGTAATTAGGACAAGGAGTTAAAATTGCTCACATTTTCCCCAGGCTCTTTTGTGCATCATTTAATAAATGGGTTCTTACATATATTTCACTTTCCTGCCCCACAATTACTCTATCTAGATTAACACAATCTATATGTTAACTGCATAAAGTTTTATTGGGTTCAATGTAGTGGCATCATAAATGAAATTTAGAATTCACTGGTTGCTGGTGAATCCGGCTCAGATTTGAAAAGCTAAAGCAACATTATAAATTCTGCTATGCCCGCACAGGATTCTCCTTAAGCATGATGAAGTTTGATAATATATGTTCCTAAACTTTTCTCTGGCTGCCAAAACAGTTAGATTAAGTTTATTTTACTGCACAACCAGGTCTCTTGAATCAAAAATAATTGCAGATATCCAGATGGAAAATGCTCCTTGGCTGCGACTCTGCACAAACATTAGGAAGGTTATGCCAATTGTTGCCTTAAATCTGATGAACGTGCTCATCTAATCCCATTAGCTGGAATATATAATTGTGTTTCTGAGTTTTCCTCGATGAATCTCTGAATATCTTTTGAAGAAGCATATTATGTGTAACGACTTATTCTCACCTGTCTTCTCAGCACCTGTGACTAATGGCTTCAGGAAGCATATAGAAAGTGGGTCTGATTCAGAATGTAGCTCTGGACGGGGCAGCGGTGTTTCATTTGATATTTGCAGGTAAGACCCTTTTTGGGTGGTTGCATTCAAATAATTAGAATTCTACTAATTTTATATATTTACTGTAGAAGGTTTTTCAGATTTCAAGGTGATTGTTGTTTCCTTACGTTTTGGGCAACATACAATGCAGTAGTAGCACTGGATCTCATATGTGCAGTATATGTTTACCTTATAGTAGGGTTTCCCAGGCTGAGGTATATCTCCCTTGGGGAGGTGCAGACAAAGTCCAGGGGAGAAATGAAAAATCCTTTAGTTACAATATATGGTTACAACAAAGTCACCTTTTCCAAAGTTTCACTGTATTATTTTCATTGTTCATTTGTGTCCATTTTGGTGTTTGGATTTCTATAGGAGGGGTATATACATTAAGATTACACTAAAGGGAGATGAAATGGCAGGTATGTTGGAAGAAAGTTTGGGAACCCCTCCCTTGTAGCTTATTTATTTTCTGACCCTTTCTTCATTTTGCACTAGTATTTTAAAATTAACTTACCTGATGATTCCAAGATGTATGGGTACCATAAGGTCAAGAATAAATTCCAATCCAAGTGGTAGGGAAGTTCTCTACAAAAAGAATGGTTTGCCTTGTCCAATAAACATCTAAATCCTTTTAGATTTATATCCAAACTTTTGCCCTAGAAATTGTAAAACCACATTAGCTCTGCTAATTCTTACCTTGTCATTGTCTTTCTTTATCTTTCCCAACAATGTGAAGCCTCCTTGGCTTTTTCTTGCTTCCTCATTCTTCCTATGCAATTCCTGGGAGCAGTTAATCACTATTTTAACGTCATAACAGAGCCCCTCTCCAAGGGAGATAAGCAGTTTAGAAATAGGAAATAGTAATCAATCAATCAATCAGCAATTATTTTGCACTTCATGTGGTTTCAGTTGCCCTGCGGATATCTCTATCATGTAAAGGTCTTGTGGCCCACTGGAGAAGGATGCTGAAATTTCATATCAAGCCCAGAGGAAGGTTTTCACACTAGTATGGTGACCATCCCAGAAAATAACATTCCACCTGTCAAGCCCCGCCAACTTGCCATACCTGGGGCGAAGGGGGGCCTGGTTGGACCTCTCATCTGTCCGTAGCCCAACCAAGGAAACGCAGAACCAGACAAGCAAACACAACCAAGCTGAATTCAGGGTTAATGGCTGACGCAGGTTTAATGGCTGAGAACCGGCATGAATAAGTCCTGGTAGATTCCAAGTCTGTAAATACCATAGCCACGCCCACGGCCCAGCCCACTATCATAGCCAGCATCCGGCAGCTAATTGTCCTCCTTCCGGGTTTCTCCTGAGGCGCCTGTCAGCTGTTCCGGCTGATTTGTGGTTGCGCCAGTCAGCTGGTGAGTAACGGGCAGGCTAGTCTAATGGAGAGGGCATCCGGTGGAAACTAAAAGACTCAACCTGGGGTATCGCATTTCTGATGCCGGAGTGGAGATGGATGCAAATAAGAGCCAGGCTGTAATGGGATGCCTGTACAGAAGGGTTTTCTTTGTGACTAAATTTTCCTTTAGTTCATGACATTATATGAACTGAACTGAAGCTATCAAATGGTATTTAGTATCTCACTTTCTTGTCAAACCTCCTTTTTTCACAGTAGTCCGCCACCACACAAACGTAGCCGAGGGAAGCCTGCTCTTATACGGGTCCCTTTTCTGGATGGTGTAAATAAAGATTTGGCATACAGCAACTCAGGTGAGATAAAATTTGCATATGAAATTCATTTGAGTAAGATATAGGGGCTATTTTTCATGTTAATTGTGCCACAGGAGAATAGGTTCTCTGCATATTTCTGTGGAGTTAAGCACTACCAAATTCAGCGGTGCCTGCTTTTGAATAGTCATAAGAACAGTTTGTCAATTTATTCTTTAAACCGGTGATGTCAGAATTTGCAGCCTCTGAAATTAAGCAAGTGATATAATCTGCTTCCCTGAACAGGAACCAGAATTCATTTCTGAATGCCTTACCCTTCTCAGCCATTTGTCATGAGCCTTGGTTAGCCCAGTGGTTAGAATGCAGTATTGCAGGCTAACTCGCTGTTCACTGTTAGGAGTTCGATCCTCACCAGCTCAAGGTTGGGTCAGCCTTCCATCCTTCTGAGGTTGGTTAAATGAGGACACAGATTGTTGGGGGTAATATGCTGACTCTGTAAACTGCTTAGAGAAGGCTGTAAAGCACTGTGAAATGTATATAGGTCTCAGTGCTGTTGCTCTGCGACCCCCGTGCATGCATGTGACACTCCTGTGCTCCCATGCTCATGTACCACGCCCCCAGGCCCTGTTTTGGCTTCCAGGTTGGTACAGGAAGGAGGCCTTCCAAGCCCATGTATGGCAGAGACCTGAAGACCAGCTGGCCGGCAGGAGGCACATGTGCGAGGGACCTGGGCTGAAATGACGACTGGCATGCCTGCAGAGGGGGCTCTGCATGCCAACTGTGGCACGCATGCCATAGGTTTACCATCATGGGTCTTGACTGCGTACAGTCTATGCTTCCATAGTAATAGCATTGAATCTTCAGTGATGAATTCAGTGATGAATTTGGCATAGCACAACATAATTCTAAATTGTGTATTACTGTAACTTCTTAGGAAGAAATTTGCTGATGTCATATGAGGAACACACTGATCTAGAACCTCTGGAACTTGTGTGGGCAAAATGTCGTGGCTATCCTTCTTATCCAGCCCTGGTATGTATCTAAGGCTAAGTCAGCAGTACTTCTTGGAAAAAGAAGTTAATTCTATTGAAGAACTGTCTCACCCAGTTTGTTTGTTTGTTTGTTTGTTTGTTTGTTTATATATATATATAATATATATTGTATAGATCTATTTCAAGCTATTTAGCTCTCATCAGCTAGCCATACCCTTACTGGGATTTGAACCTGGGCTATATTACATACTAGGCAGAAATCTTAGCCATTAGGCCACAGGTTCTTATCCGCTATATATATATATGGTTTTTCTGTTCAAAATATATTGAGTTTAAATAATAAATAGTAAATTAAATTCTTAATAACTTGTGTTTCTTATTATTGTAGCATATTGTGAGTTAATATTTATGATGTATTACTGTTTTTAACTTTTCTGAGGTAGATTCCTCTATGTTTACTAAATAGCTCATTCTCTAAGTCTTTAGAATTTTAAAATCTTATTCTAAAACATAAATTTTCCTGACAACAAAATGCCAGATTAACTCATTTATTCTATAATATTTTACTCTGCTTTTCACAAAGTAGATTTGAAATAATATCTGCCTTAAGTTAGATGATAATGTAATATTATATAAATTCCAACAACATAACTGAGAAGTACAGAGAACATTCAGTTAATACTTTTCATTTTTTAAAAATAATTTTATTAAAAGTTTTAAAAGATAAAAATTAACCCAACTGATATAAAATAAGAAAGAAAAAAGAAAGAAAAAAGCTGAAATTCAAGAAAGAATAAAGAGAAGTGGCTTCTGGCCTTCTTTATACCCTGTTTCCCCGGGGAGGTCTTATTATTTTTGAGGTGCAGGAGGCAGGGAGAGTGGTCACCTCATGGCTGCTGCTGTGTTGCAGTATTTTCGGGGTGGGCTTATTTTAGTGCATGTGCCCCAAAGCCTGATTGGGCTTATTATCCGGGGAGGTCTTATTTTCAACTTTCTTTACATCTTTCTCTAAAGTTACATTATGACTCTCTTTCAAAACCAGAAACCATAAATTCATTTTCTTCTGTTTTGCTCAAAAAGTCTATCAAGAGTTTTGAGTATTTGCCTATTATTTCTTATCTTGTGTCAGATTCACAAAGGTGTTTTCGGCACAACCTGTGGGTTTGACTTTATTTCGTATTTTCAATAGGGTATATCTAACATAACAAATTTATAAATCTACGTTAATCTTGATTTTGTTGTACTTACAAATAACAAATAATACAAATCTCAGATCACATCCTTCTAACTCCAAAAGCCTTCTCTTTTGCATCTTGTAATACTATATATTTAACATTTGGTTTCTTCCTCTGCCACACAAACTTAAATATATCCATTTGCCATTGTTTAAAATGTTGCATCAGTTGTCAGAGCAGACAAAAACATCATTCTACACAAGACATTCATTTTTATCACAGAAATTCTCCCTAACAATAACAATAGTAGCTTCTCCCATATTAATGTCTTTTTTAACTCCATTCCATGTTTTAATACTAATACTTAATGTGCTAATACTTTCGAGTGAATTCCCAGATCCAGTTAAAATTCATATTTTAATCTCAGAAATCTAAGGCATTAGATTCAGGGTATATAAAAGTGTGCCTTGTTCCATATGAAAATGAAAATATAAAATAAATTATTACAACAAAATTTTATATACATAAGCACTTCATATGTATGTGTACGAATAATATGTTATACAACAATTTCAATAAATGCTTTCATGGTACAAGAGAGTGATTATCAAGGTTAACCTTGATAATTCTGGCGCCAATACTACGTATTTTTCGGAGTATGAGACCCACCTTCCCCCCCCTCAAAAGAGCATGGAAATGTTGGTGCATCTTATACACCAAATACAGCCCCATCCCCGCATCCCATTTTTGCAAAAACAGACCATTTTTCGCAAAGACTGGGGCATTTTTGCTTTTCCTCAGCTCCCAGCAGCACTCTGCAGGCTGCAGCAAGGCTGAGGTAAGGCAAAATTCCCCCATTTTTGTGAAAAATGGCCTGTTTTCCACCCGTTGTTTGCAAAAACGGGGGCCTTTTTGCCTTACCCCAGCCCTGCTGAAGCCTGCAGAATGCTGCTGGGGGCTGAGGGAAGGCAAAAACTTTTTTTTCTTACTTACCTCTTCGAAATCTTGGTGCGCCATGTACACCAGTGCATCTTATAGTCCGAAAAATACGGTATGTTCTTAGAGAAATACATTCTTTCCCTTTAAGCCATAAGTAAAGGCTGGTCTAATTTGTGCAAAAATATTTAAGATTCATTTGCCAAAACAAAATGCCCATGTTACCACCAAAACCTAGATGCTCTCTAAGCTTCTTGTTTCAAGCATCCTTGGATTTTACCACAAAGGGCTCTTAAGTCTTTGAGCTAAATTTTTGTGACTTGTGTTAAATCCCCATTGTGTTTTGCTCTTTGCTTTTTAGATCATTGATCCTGAGATGCCACAAGAGGGCCTCCTTCACAATGGAGTCCCAATCCCTGTCCCCCCTCTGGAAGTGTTAAAATTAGGTGAGCAGAAGCAAGCGGAGGCTGGAGAAAAACTTTTCCTTGTCCTTTTCTTTGACAACAAGAGGACATGGTGAGTAAAATAAGCCAATGAAGGGTAATAACTTCTTTTCTTTGGACAGTAGAATATAAAGTATTTATTTTAATTAATGTAGCAAGCTTGCTGATGATTGAGGGACGTTTCGATCTATGTAACTGAGTAGTAAGCCAAGAATTCATTCTTCTTCTAGTCAATCATAAGTATGACTTCTGTTTGTAACTGCGCTAAGCACTGTAGCTTGTTTTTGCTAGAGAGTGTACTAACACTTTTATCAGGCATTAGTGCAACTTGGGCGATTTAAAAGTCATAGAAGGGTTGATTCTACAATTTGTAAGGCTTTCAATTTCTTCATTGTCTCCATAATAACCCCCCCCTCTCTCCCTCCCTCTCTCTCTCTCTCCCTCTTTCTCTCCCTCTCTTTCTCCTGCAGGCAGTGGCTTCCACAAGAAAAAGTTCTTCCTCTGGGAGTAGATGACACTGTGGATAAACTCAAGATGCTGGAAGGACGGAAAACCAGCATCCGCAAGTCTGTCCAGGTTGCATATGATCGTGCAATGATTCATATGAGCCGTGTTCGGGGAGACCATCCTTTCGTCACACCCAATTATCTGTGAGGAAATTTGCTCTACCCATCCTGTAGGAAGTAACGTTTGCATCTACAGGCAAAGTTGATCAACTATGAAGTGAGGACTATGGGATTTTCTTGCCTACAAGAAGATATAATTGCCACATTTGCATTTTGAGTAGAGACGCGGTATTTCCAACAGTAGGAAAAGTTCATGTTACATACTTGATATGTGCCAAAAAGTCTGCCTGGTTTCTTTCTGAACATGTTTCCCAAAGAATCCAGGAGGGAAAGAAGTGATGTAGCAGTGTGATCTAGTAAGATGATGTCGGGAACAGTTACACTATAATGCTGCAACCCTGGCAGAATCTTAAGATAATTTGCTGATTGGACAAGAAGCCCTACCAGACTCTTGAGTTTTTAAACTTCAGCTAGGCCTGAAGCAGCTGTGGAGCTTATTGCTTCTGTTATGAATTGAGGGTCTTTTTGATGACTCTTGTGTGCCAAATGTTCACTAATATTCACCATATATTTTCAAGTTATTTTTGAAAAACACTGGTCCCCATCCCCTGTGTAGAACTCTCTAAATTTGTATATGTTTTTATGTTAGAGATTACAATGAAAAAGAAAGAAAGATAGAATATTTGGGGGGGTAATGCCCCTTTCCTGATTTTGCCTCATGCTCACATTCACAGAGCTTTAAATATGAAGAAACCTCTTGGGAGATATTTTCTGTGATTTTTACATTTCAATTTCAGATTCGTATACTTCTGAAAATTGATACAGTAATATTTTAAATGTTATTTTACAAATACTTATGCTGCTAGAATGTTGTTGCTAGATATGAAGGTTTATTGTGAAATGAGGAAAAAGCAATCTTTATGGTATCGAAAAAATTTCCCCCATTCATGAACAATGCCACTGAAGCCCTGTCTCACTTGTCAGGTCTGTTCTTCAGAAAATCACAGCATCCTGTCCATTCTGTAGGATTTCTAGACATGGAAGCAGCCTCTTGTTTATTTACAAGGGAACATGCATTAACAAATCTCTTCCTCATATGCATCACCCTATTTAGGTTTGGGCCATTAAGCATCATATTGCACATTTAGAGCTTTCCCCAGCTTTCAGTAGTAAGTATCTGCTTATATAGAGTGCCATATGTACTTTGACATATGCGGCTCTGGGCTAGGGCAATCATATAAAGTCATGATTCCTCTTTACCTGAAGAAATGAGAATTAAATTGGAATGTGTCATCTTATTCACCGGAATTCCCTACAGTCACTCTTGGCCACCCCATAAACGCTTCAGCATTTGCTTTTATGCTCTCTGAGCTTCCGTTATTGGGATCTGTTAAAAATAGAGCACAACTCCTTGGAGAAACCTTTTTTTTTCAACTTGCATATGCTACAAAAAGAGGAAGAGCTGAACCTTGCAAGTTGACAGTGCATTTCATAGGTAACATTTGATTTTGTGAAGGTTTTTTTTCTTTCTTTAAGAATTTCAAACCAAAGGTACAGAGCAAGATTGTAATTTGAAAAACATTGTTTCCCCCCCCCCTACCCCCACCTCCTTTTTAACTTTATTATTGTTGTTATTTTCTTATTAAGAGATAGTGGGACAAATGTTATTGTGGGGAAAATCACTGCCATTTCTATGTGGTCTTTTTTTCAAGAACCACATCTTATACATTGGGACATAAAACCACACTATATGGGAAATATCTGTAACATATACAGAACATGAATAGGAATCTTTTTTTAAAAAATAGTTAATAATATCTCAAGAGTGTGGTTACAGAAGGAACTTTTGTACATAATTGTAAACTACTGTTCTAAATTATTCAGGCCAATTATTAATCTTTTAAGTCCTCAGTTGTGTTGCTGGGTCTTTTGTATGCATACAATATAATTAATTTAAAGAAACATACATTTTCCCAGATTGTAGCCTGGCTGTGGACTTGTGATTTATGTTTAACTGTTTTAAGATCTTGCATTTAATTTCTTCCATTTTTTTTAAAAAAAATTCAATTTAAGGACTTCAATTGGCTAATATCCTGCTGTTGCTATGGGACCTATACGTGACTTGTCAGTCTGCTGTAAAGCACAGATGGCTCTATTTATTGTAGAAAGTGAGTTTATTTGCTTTCTAGAACTGTTTATATCAGATGGAATAAGAGGTAATAAATTCTATGCTTGTAAAGAAAAATGCTAATTTTACCTACTATAATCTGACTGTCTGAAACTATATTTTCTCTCTGAGAAATAAATGTTCTAATGTAAAATATCTGATTGGACTATTTTAGCAGGGGAAATTTCTTGCCTGAGATAGACTTTGAAATGACATGATTTGTCAAAGTATTTAGAAGATTTCTGAAAAGCTGCTCTTGAAAACACCATAAGCCTTTCCTGTTTCCAGATACATTCTCTAGAAAACCATGGGGTGTGGAAAAGTGACTCCAAGCACAAACAAAGCTAGTGTAACTTTATAGATATGTTCATGCACTTCCACACTAGAATATTTGCATACCAAAGCAACTTTGCCAATGAAATAGCCAAAAATAGGATCATTGATAGTTGAGGCACAAAAAGGGCAGTTATATGCCAAATTTATAAACATAATGCATATTGATTTCTGAAGAGGTTAATTGAAAGAACTTATTTTGTCCCATGAGTATTTTAATTTATCAGAAGTTAATACACAAGGTCCCCTCACCACTCTACATTGGACTGCTTCAAGTAGGAATATATTAGGGAGGAGAGACAAGTATCTTATTAAAAATCTTGGCTTAGGACTAATCTTTATCCTTTCTGTCCATATCAGATTGGGAGATTATGAAAGAGCAGGCCTTTGAGCAGGATGTTTTCACTGTTTTCTATATACAAACCTCCAACTACAGGAGTTTTCAGATCTTGTATTATGCTGCTTGTTCTTCCATTTCTGTTTTTCAATCCAAAGGAAATATGCATGGGCTGAGACAAATATAAGTGTTAAGTGATAAAAGTATGAGAACTTCTAGTTGCTTTATTCCTATTTGTACTTCATTAATTTATGCAGTGAAAAACTCCAGGTCATCCTCCTCGTGGTGGATTATACTATATGTCGAGTCTGTTAAACTTGCTGGCCTGCGGGCCTGATGCGTCATACACTGGCCACACCCATGCCCGGTTTAGCAAAGGGGGGGGGGAGAAAGTTCTGATACATCATGTGACACTGCCGTGGCGATGCAAGTTTGACACTCCTGCTATATGTTATATAAATGGTGGGACAGGGAAATTCCATGTTTGCATCTTGAGTAGCTTTACATTTTCTTTGACTCTCAGGCATAGGAATACGTGCCTGTGATTGGTTTACACTGATTATGTTTTTATGTTGGAAGTCATTTTTATTTATTTATTAAGGTAATTTATGCAACCACCCAATTCACTCACAGTAATTCCAAGTCTTACAAGCCCCCAATACAACATCCAATAAACCCTCACCCCCCTGGCAAAAACAATTAAACCAATCACCTTGGGGTGTCCAGGCCCACTGCCAAAACCAGTTCTTCAGGGCCTTTTGAAAGAGCATCAAGGTGAGGAACAATTGGATTTCTCCAAGGGTGATGTTCCACAGGGAGGGAGCTACCAGAGAAAACCCTTCTTGGCTCTACCAGTTGGACTTCCTTAAGGGATGCTATCAGTATTGCTCTGTTCTGGGATATTACTATTGAGGAAGAGTTTTTCTGCTTTTATGGTGCAAGAGGCCACTGGGATTGTTTGGCCCCTTGACTGAATACCAACCTGCTTTTCTCCTATATGCACTTTCCAATTTGAAAGGTTTTATCTTTTCAAAATAATAATTTTCTTTCTATATTTCTAAAGAGAATTTAATTCTGTGTTAAATTCTGCAAGGATCTAATAGATAGGTTCAGCACTGATCTCATAGAAGAATTTGCTTAAAGAGGAATTGGTGCCCTGGATACCAGCCATTTCTCCCTCCTCATTTAATTGCAGTTTCAGAATAACTCTGCAGGCTTGAATCTGCACTTCTTCCTCGGGATGAATGATGAGGGAGAGAAGACAATCAGCTAGCCGAGAATTGTTTCCAAAAAGGACCTCATAGAGTGACAACTCATTGTATTGCCAGTGCCCTGATTGGTAGTGAGGAGTCAGGCGACCCTCACAAAGCCGTTCCACAAGCACCAGCAGCTCAAAGAGAAGGCTTCCAAGCTGGGAAGGTTGGAATAGGCTGAGGAATTCTGGATGCACCTTTAAAAAAAGCGTAATGCAATGTAAGCCTTAAAGAAAAAGAGAAAACAAGTATCTAACAGACTGTTCATGTCCTACTGGCTAATTGGTTTAATCTTTTGAGGGTTCTTCAGACTTCAGATTCTTTTATAAGAAATTATGACAGGAAAGATGTATTTTGTTTTCTGAAATCTGACATACTCCATGTTGGGATGCCATCCCTAGAATGTGCAGATAGCAATGGGAATTGCAATGTTCACATGTTTGGAAAATACATATTGGGGTATCTTCCAATTACATATTTGTTTATGTCTGTTTGATTAAATAACTCCTTAAAATCTACTTTTGATCTCGAGTATTTTACTTCCTCTCCCAAATATCCCTGTGGGGGTAGGGAGGAAATCTTTACCTGGCAATTCATGATATCAAATAACAATTCTTCCTTCTGGGCTAATGTGCTAAGGAATTTTAGAATCTGCACCTGGAAAAAAAAAACACAAAAAAACTTTCAGACCATATAATCAGTAAAGGTAGGGGTGCTTATGTACACCATGGTTTCTTCATTATGCCCCCCCACAAAGCTGATGATATTAGGAGTTTGGGTTTAGAGTAGAGCAGGCGTGTCAAACTGAACGCCCGTGGGTCAGATCCGGCCCGTGGGATACTTAGATCTGGCCTACGAGGCTACCGTAGATACAGCAAAGGACTGGCCCATGGTGCCTCAGCTGGCAGAAATGGAGCTTGGGAGGGCCACTTGGGTGTCCTCCCCCCCCCCCCGAGCTCCATTTTCACTGGCAAAGGGCGGCAGGAGGCCATCACAGCTGATAATGAAGCTCAGGAGCCCATTTTCACTGGCAGAGCTCTCGGGCCACCACAGACACGAGTAACATCAAGCTAGCCACGCCTACCCTGGCCACCCCTCAGTCCATCCTGAGGTCAAACACCACCCTGGTGCAGCCCTCAATGAAATTGAGTTTGACACCCCGGGAGTAGGGTATATTGGACAGTCCATGAGCCAAAGTACCTGAGCCAAATTGTTTCCCATCTGCAGAATGTCCATTAAGGTGGGCAAGAGCTTTTTCAGGAGGGGTTGCATGTGATTTGGCCATGGCAGTCCATTCAGTAATCTCAGTCCAGCAACGTGTACATCAGTGTCCCATAATTCAGTGATAATTTCAAGAATCTTGGGCATGAATTCCTGCACAGAACAAGACAGCATTTTTTTAAAAAATTGTGAATAATAGGGCAGAAATCCTTTGTTTCAGAGGCATGCTACACTGGGCCACAGGCTGCATTGCAAAAAATAGTGAGTGAGATCAGAACAAAAAAATGAAACTGGATTCATTTCACTTACATTCTAATAAAATATAGTTAATATGATTACCCTCAAGTCATGCATTTCATAATTTTTCCCTTCAATCAGATTAATAATTACAATTTGATAACATTTAGAGCTCTGTGGGGATGCATGCATACACTAATAGTAAGCCTCAGGTTATATATTTCTTACTATATATATTGCAAACACCATTTGTATAAGAACTGATGCTTTCAGTTTTTTCAGTTTTTGTTAATCATTAAAGCACTAATACTTTACTATAAATAATGTTTTTTTTAAAAGGGGCTTTTCCAAAATCAGAAAAAGCATAAACATAGTGGGTGATTCATTTTGTGCGCATTATCGTAGCAATCCTGTAATAAATCTTATTCTTGGAATTGCTTCATTGCTTGATATTTATTTACTATTCCAGATGAGTGTTAGATAAAATATAAATAGAACAATTCTTGAGCACCAGAGAGTATCACAGGAATAATTTAATTTCTGGTGTGAAACAAGCCAAGAAAAGGAATTTATTTCCCGTCCCTTTGGGAGGAAACATTTTTTTCCACTCTTGGTTTCAACTTCTAGAGAAGAGTAGTATTAGCCTTCTAAAACCAGTTTCTGAAATTGAGTTTAGAAAAAGAAGGGAAGAAGAGATGGACTCTCACAGGAGGAAAGTAGAAACTCGTCTTGCAAATCATCTGTTCCTCCTCATAGTTGGCTGAGGAAAGGAAAGGAGTAATTTCTTTGGAGATTCCAAGAGTTCCTTGAAGGGACACTAATAGCAGTGTTTTCCCACAACTTACCGTAAGCGCAGCACCAGTGTCTCCATTGAGCCAGAAAGGAAACACAAGGGCCAAGACCATGTAAAATGAAGCCAAATGGCATTGGCAAACAACTTACAAACTGGCAGACTCTCAAAATGTGCAGGATATTAGGAAGTTGCAGGCCTTCCCTGTTTTTGAGAGAAGCTACAAAGACAATAGCTGTATAGGATAAACCATAGTGCTCCTACAGCTGTCAAAAAGAGTTTCTAGCTGCCTCAAATTTGATATTTGTGGGACACAAAAGTACACTAAGGTGTTGGCAAACAAAATTAATTGTCATCTATGAAACAGACAATCAACAGAAAAGGGGCTCTCATTCCAATATCAGTCAGCGGTTAAGCCAGTAGTGGGATTCACATTTTTTTACTATTGGTTCTGTGGGCATGGCATGGCTTGGTGGGCTTGGCAGGGGAAGGATACTATAAATCTCCATTCCCACTCCACTCTAGGGGAAGGTTACTGCAAAATCCCCTTTTCCTCCCGATCAGCTGGGACCTGGGAGGCAGAGAATAGATGGGGGCAGAGCCAGTCAGAAATGGTATTTACCAGTTCTCTGAACAACTCAAAATTTTTGCTATCAGTTCTCCAGAACTGGTCAGAACCTGCTGCATACCACCTCTGCAGTAGCACATTCATAACAAAAGCATCTTGTAACTTGCCCCAAAAAATCTATGGTAGATCTCTCTGTGCCATTGCTGTAGTGACCAAGGATCATAGCTGGATTTAGCATGAATAAATCTTAAGCAGACCAGATGATGAATCTTACAGTCCCATCCAGTTGAAAGAGGAAAAGATTCCAAGGAGATTTAGAGAACCATTTTGTTTATGGTTTGTTGATGTTGTAATATTTTTCTAGTTGTACTTGTGAGCTCAATTAATAAAGGGTTGGGTTCATTAATTACAAATTGTAAGGTTGAAATCAAAATCAGATGAACATTTCTTGTTGGGACTAATTTCTAGTGATAGAGCACTTTATGGTATGTCCAACTACTGACTATGCAGATTAAAATCATGCAGTTTTTGTATAATTTATTCTTCATGCAGCAACTAGCCTATCCCTTTGGAAAATTCGGACATTTTTTTCAGGAGATAAACAAACACCCATTCCACCCCCTCAGCAATTTATTTGTTGTTAAGTCATTGGCATGACTTAACAACAAATGTTCATTGGCATGAGCATTTTATTTGTATTCCAAATATATTATGAACATTGATTAATTTCCTACAAATATTCTGTATGTCCTGCTTTTGCTGTGGGAAAAAAAACCCTGTATTTTTATGCTAGTTGTTCCCAACTCTAGGGGGCAGTGCTCATCTCCATTTCAAAGCCGAAGAGCCAGCATTGTCCGAAGATGTCTCCACGGTCATGTGGCTGGCATGACTAAATGCCGAAGGCGCACAGAACGCTGTTATCTTCCCACCAAAGGTGGTCCCTATTTTTCTACTTGCATTTTTACGTGCTTTCGAATTGCTAGATTGGCATAGGTTGGCAGAAACTGGGACAAGTAATGGAAGCTCACTCTGTTATGTGGAGCTAGGGATTCGAACTGCCAAACTGCCAACCTTTCTGATCAACAAGCTCAGCGTCTTAGCCACTGAGTCACCGCGTCCCATTAACTTGTAGGTCTCCTAATTTGATGCTTTTGCTCTTATGCCCTTTACAAATAACTTTGATACCATTGAAGCAAGAAAGAGATTCTATTTATGGAATGGTTTGTACGGGTATTATCAACTAACAACTTTCTATTAGTGGTATTTTCCTGCAGTTCCTATGGATGAACTGATAAATAGCCAAAGTGATTATTTTGGTTGTTTTTAATGAAAGCACAGCCCTAGGTCAAATTTTATGGTCAGAACATTAATAGCTCTTCTCTATTTTGCCTAGGATATACTTATCATTGAAGAAAATCCACAGGTGTAGCTGCAAGCTTATAGATCACAATGACCATAATATCAAATGAGAATCATTCACATGTGAATTGATACTAGTATATGTAGGTGCCTAGCATGGAAATACAGTACTACCCTGTTTCCCTGAAAATAAAACCTCCCCGAATAATAAGTCCAATTGGGCTTTTGAGTGCATGCGCTAAAATAAGCCTTCCCCAAAAAATAAGCCCTCCATGAAAATATTGCAACACAGCAGCAGCCATGAAGTGACCATGCTCACTGCCTCATGCACCTCAAAAATAATTAAGACCTCCCCGAAAATAAGGCCAAGTGCTTATTTCAGAGGTCAAAAGAAAATAAGACCCTGTCTTATTTTGGGGAAAACATGGTATACAAATGATCACCTGAATTCTGATTCTAAATTTCCAGATGCCAGCAAAAGCCTTGAGAGCATGCATTGTCTGAATCTTGACACCAATGTCTGAATCCTCCAGGAATGAGGCCACAAGTTTAATTTCCTCATAAGTACATGCGGATGCCTGGGGAAAAAATTCAGAATTAGTGTGTGTGTGTGTGTGTAAGGCTAAGTTAAAGCAAAATGTAGGAGAGTATATTCAATTCCATTTAATACTTTGTAACTTCACATTCAAATAATGACTCTTTTTTTAAATTTTAAAATATGTGAAGTAACCAGTTATTTATTTCTTATTACCTATTTATCCCTGGCTATTCTGGTTTCCAAACATTTGTCATAAATCTTAAGGTATAACACTTCATGATAGTCATAGGATACTAAATAAGCAATCAACATAAATCATACTAGGCTAGTAAATAAACAATATAAATTGCAAGATACAAGCAACAAAGTTATAATCATAAGATGAAAGGAGATAGGTAATAGAAAAATGAGAAGACTCAAACAAATTAAGGAACATAAATCTGAAGCTTGCCAACTAAATTTATTTTTTAATTATGACAGTATGATAGCTGTGAAATATTTATTTATTATTTATTTATTTGGAGTTTTTATATGCCGCCCAATCCCAAAGGACTCCAGGCAGCTTACAAGAAATATAAAAAACACATAACGACAAAACAATTTAAAACAACAGACACCCCTCATTCATTCTAGTCGGGGCGGACCTCAACAGTGAGGTCAACAGCCCCAGGCCTGCCGGAACAGCCAAGTTTTTA